TCACGTTAAATAAAAATCAGTTGAATTGTGAAGTAACATGTGAGAACGTTATTTTTGTCCTAAAAATGTCAATTATTAACTTGCAAAATGCCGTAGTAAACGGGTAGAGTATTGGGTTGCAATGTTATGTTGAGAAATGTTAGGAAAATTCAATAGATCACAGCACTATCGAAGAGGAATTTACATTACCGGTAATGCACGTAGATTTCTGCGACGCGCGTTACTGAACGCGCGTCAAAGCAACCTTCGTGAACACGGGGTCTAATATAGAATTTACGCTGTAAAGACTTTATTTCAAAAGTTGCCGAAATCCATTTTTCCAGTTTTTGTTTTACCGTCAAATTAAAAATATAAGCGTATAGCTGGATGGTGACACGCTTTCTGAATCCAGCGCAGTTTCAACCGTCCAAATGTGTTGAATATATGCGTTGTAAAGCGAAATTTGGCAAAATATGTCCCGGCTTCCCGAGGTCGTGCTGCCGTATCCTTTCATATTTGATGAAAGCTAAAGGAGTCTTTCGATTAAATCCCATACGTTTTCCTATTAGCTGTAAGGTAAAAATACCTCTCCAAGGGCGTCTTTTTGTAAAACAATTGTTCTATTATTAAAATATCATAGATATTAACAACCCTTTTATTTAAAATTTGTGCGTAGAGGTTTATCAACAATACTAGTAAGAATCGAAAGTATTAGTGTTTAGTGGGCCTAACAAGCCTACTTCATGCTCCATAACGGTCTAACAAGCATGCTCCATGGTTAACTTGTCTCCTGTGGTCTTCTGCTTTACGAGTTACAAATGAGTTAAACGTTCTTATGAAAGAACCTTAACGCACAACACTTTTAAATCTATTAAAACTTATAATGAAAAGGATTAGAAAAGACTTGGAAATTTTGAATAGCAACAAGCCAGAAACGCTAACTTCTTTCTTATCACGATCTTTTTCAAGCAAATTCTATGGCGCATGAAACACGTTGAAGAATGTTGTAATTTCAGAGCTAGGTCAAATAATTCATTCGATATTCCCTTAGATGACCTTAATGACTTTTTGCATCCGCTGCCCATGAAATAGACCCTACGTTTAAAGGAAAATCACTGCAGATGCTGGAAACATAAGCACCTCTCTCCGATGGTCTGTTTCCACAATGCACATTGCGAAGAAGTCGAAAAATATTTAATGCAAAGCGTTTGGTCCTCACACTTTTTGTCGCCGCTCGGTAATTAGAACCCTTATAACGCCCTTGATTAATAAATATTTTCTTTAACAACTAAATATTTCCCCCAAATGTAGAAACTTGCTTTTGTACTAAGACTACTTCTAACATGACCAAACTCCCCAAACACTTGTGATTACTGACCTAAACAAAATACTATCAACATTCCCCAATTTCTTTGAAAAAAATCAGCAAATAGAATCATTATAAATGATTTTCTCAATTTTTGCCAAATTGGGCATTTTCAGTAATGGTTTTAAAGCATGAAAGTTGTTTTTGCCGAACTAATTAGCAACAGTAATTGCGACAATTTACCACGCAAACGTTTTTCATTTATGTCCGTGATATCATTTTCCTGAAATTATTGGGCTAATAAGTTAGCAGAAAATCGTGTTTCTGTATTAATTGAAGAGCAACAAAATTTCGTCTGTGGCAACTATTTAGCCCAAAAAAGTGACAATTTCTTCTGTAGAGTTTTTTTTTATTTACCACTGCTTTTTTCTAATGGTCGGAATTTAGCATTCCCGAAAGTCTGTGACGAATATTATTTTTAGATCACCACTAGTAATACAATAGCTTTCGAATACATAGCGTTCTAGTAGTTCAATTTTTATCATTAGTGCTAAAAGCGAGATGACGCTCAAATATTCTGATAAATATGTGAATCCAAAGAAAACAATACTACCGTGTGACCGCTACACCTACAGCTGACCTCAACGTGTCCTTAAATGATTTGTATACTAGAATAAACATAAAGCGAATGACAGTAAAACTGTTTAAAAATAGTGTATAGCACGCGTGGTAGAAGTAATTGCGCCACTCGTGATAAGTGATTTTATTCTGTGAGGAGAAGAGATTGCGTCACTCGTGGTAAAAGTGGTTTTATTCTGCGAGTAGAAATTATTGCGACACGTGTGGCAAGTTATTTTATTCTGCAATGAAGGATGATTCCGCCACGCGTGATAAATTGAATTTATTCCGCGAGTAGGAATGATTTCGCTACGCTTGGTAGAGTTAGTTTATTCTTCGAGTAGGAATGGCTTCGATACGAGTCCGATAGGTCAAGAAGCACAATCCCAAGAATAAACTAAGAACCATGGCGGCCCACAGCTTTCTTTCACGAACATTGCAATCTTCGATGATGCGCGACCATTTTTCGGTTCTCTCGTCTTGTACAGATTTATCTGCTTAGAGCTCGCGCCCGCGCCGTCCGCGGGGTCGCCGTAGCGGTGGTGTAATTTAGAATATCTGCGGAGCTCCCGCAGCCACCTTCACTGCTCATTTGTGAACTCACGTCTTGATTCCGGTTAGCTGATCAGTTTGGTGTTTAATTTGCATGACATTCGAATCACAGCGGTTATGCGAGTCATCGCGATATCGATTTTGTCCTCGAAATTTAGCGGCTTCCGCTCAAGCAATGTGGTTATGTGTACTGTGAAACCGACCCAGTTGATGTTGCAGGAAACCTTGAATTTGTTTCTGCGGTCAGGGGCGAAAGAAGAAACCACGAATATAAAAATTAATAACTAGTGAGCATCTATAGCTGAACTAAAATGTGAATCTTTGATAATTAACCACAGAGGGAATATTTCTTACTACTTCTTTTACTGTCATAAACTTTTTTCACACACACATTTTACGAAAAAATTCATATTAAAATGGATATATAACGTCTATGTACTACTGTACGTACTTCCTGCGCATGTGACAATGGTCATCATTGGCTTATTCCAGCAATATCTTGCTCAGACTTCAATCCAATTCTAGTCCCAGCAACAGCCGGCAATATCTTTCCGTGGATGGAAACACATGTGTTTACATTACGACCGGAATATCTAGCAAGAAATATTGCCAACATCAGAAATATTTTTCACAGCAATGTTTGCATTGGCAACTTTTCTTGCGAAATAATATTGCTCGTCATTTTCTTGCAAGTGTAAAGCCAGCTTTAGGTAGCTTAGGACGTCCATTAATGTCACTGCAGTGCCTCTGTCCGGGGGTCCTAGGGCCCGAGTCCCGATGGTGGCAGGACTTTCGAC